TTGAACTAGCTATTGATATTTAGCTGATAACGTTAAGTCATTTTTTTATGTTTATTTTTGTCGATTTTGACTGATTTTTGCAAATGCTTATTTTTTTCACCTTATAAAAATATTAAATATTACGAAATTCTAAAATAGTATTATAAAAATTGCGATATTATCCGATAAAAATTCTTGTTTAAATTTATGTTTTCAAGTTTTTATTTTTATTTAAGAAATATAATCTAAAAACAAAAGTGTGACAGTGTTGGCGACCTCTTCCTATATATGTATAAGTTACCTACATATTAATTATACACGCAGATTATAATTAAAAATTACAAGTTACACGCAAAGTTTTCATTTTTATTTCGTATATAATTAAATATTAAATCGTATCTAAGTATAATAAATCTCTATATCTGTAGTAAAATTGATAATTAAATGATTTATTCGATTATTTGTGTTACATATTTATTGTACCTTTAAAAATAAAGATAGCGTTAAAATAATTTATATAGATAAAAATTTGCGGTAACAAAGTCTAGTGAAATAAATTGTTTTCTTCCATCCATAAATCTTGCAGGCATTCAGCTTTGAAATATGGGTAACAATAGTAATGATAATAACAGTCACTTCTCTTCTCTTGACTATTATGAAATCAAAAAACGGATATTTCTCGATGGACTTAATATTCGAAAACTATGTTAAGGTTTGGGGAATTTATTGCCAGCAGGGTTTGCCAGGTAATATTTGTTATAGAAATATTTAATAACTTTACTTAAGTTTTTATTTTTATAATATTTTTATATTATTTGTAGTGACGTTCCTTACGAAAAAGACGCATGGGTTAGGAATTGTAATTCATGTAGTTATTGTAATCCCTCACGAAAATATTACATTCGACGGACCACACGCGTGTAATTATTGTAATACGAATATTGCGGTGGTCAACTTACAGTAGACACATTATAAGGCATTAATATTTGTGTGTGGTTATTGTAATATTTTCCTGTAGTTATTGTAGTATTTGGATTAGACGAATTACAATCCCTAGCCGATGCATCTTTTTCGTAAAGGGTTTTATATAATTAGTACGTTGTTGTGTCAATAATATGTATATTTGGCGCTAGAATAGAACACACATATTATATATTTTACGCGATCGCAGAATTTCCCAGAGAGTTACCGATGCAGTTGGCTTCTTTCTCGATTTACATCTCGTCGATAGTAACTCTGGCCACTTATTCCGCCTCGTTGATCAGGTTTCTGGCGCTCAATTTCCCCAAACTGCCTTTTTCCACTCTGGAGGATTTCGTTAATGACGGAAATTACAAATTAATCACTGTGCAAAATAGCTCCGGGAGCGAGGTTCCTAGTGTGAGTTCGCTATTGTTATTTAAAACTTAAAAATTACTTTGTATATAAGCAGCAACTTGTTAGTTGCAGTATTTTCGTTTGAAGCTCGCGAATAAAAACAATCTCGCCAATGTAGCTGTAAACATTTGGAAAATTTTTACATTATAGTTTATACAATAACATTATACGTAAAGCATTAACATTACGGATAAACAAGTTTCAGTAATTCAATAATTTTTTAGAAAATTTGACAATTTAAATGTCAAGAGAATTTAATTTTTTATTTGAAGAAAATATGTTTATTCATAAATTTTTTATATTCTTATGATAAGTACCTATTATTTGCGAGAATTCATAAATTAAGGAGACATAATATTCTTCTAACTACATAATTGGAAGAAAAACATCTTTTTAATTAAATTAAGTTTTTTCGAATTTTGCAGAATGTCAAAGACCCAGTATTTCTGAAAATGTACGAATTGCTGGAAGAAAAGAAGTATTTACCGGCATCAGCGAGGGAGGGTTTCGAGCAAGTTAGCGATATTATCTAATTAATAACATCAATAGCGTTAAGTTTCTTTAAATCGATTCACATCAATTTTCACGCAGATCTGCCAGCGGAAGAATTTGGCATTTTACATGTCGGAGGTGATCAGAGAGTCCATGGACATGTATATACAGTGTAACATCGTATACATTGATACCGGGAGAATCCAAAATATAGCGTTAATGTTATCAAAAGGAAATCCTTATATTGGCTTTATAAATTATCAGTAAGTCCTATAAGTATATACATATTTATGTATTTGCAAAGAATACAGATTAAATCGCTTACAATTGCTTCTATAACTTTTAAAAAATAAACCCTTAATTTAAATATTTTTGCATTTTTCAGCTTACAGCGATTTCAGACTAATGGTGTTATGAACAAGTTGCGGAACAAGTATCTCCCAAAAAAATCTCCGAATAAGATGACTTATAGTACAATTGATATGAACAATGTAACGCCGGTTTTGACGATAATGGTGGGCAGTATGTTTCTGGCACTATTTATCTTGATAATTGAGAAAATGTATTATTCGTTTAAAACTTTATTTAAGAAAAACAAATTGTCTGTTGAAAAATTAAGTCATAATCTTGGCGTGAAGAATAAATTGCAAAAGAAAAACGACGAGAGAAATTTACAGCTTTAAGTATTTTTTAATGGATCGATTGATTATTGGCTATAATAAATAAAATAATCGCTACAGGGATCTTTTGTCTGTAAAATTATACAATTTTAATAATTTAATTAAATATTATATAATTAAATTCTTTTATAATTCTGATGCATATAAGGATAAGAATGAGATAAGGATCTGATACATAAGATTTCGAAATATTTCAACTTTTGTGAAACTAGATTATAGTAAATTTTTTTATTATTTATTGTGAAATTTATAACAAGTCTTTTATATATTATTACAGCATTGTACTCTTTATTGTTAGAAATAATGCGCACAAAAATTTGATTTTTAATTACATATTAAAAGATTTTGAAATTATTAAATCCAAATAACACAACATTTCTCTTCATTAACATTTATTATATTACTTTGTATATAATTATAAAGATTTATTAATTATGAATTTTTTTGGATTAGTTATTGTGATCGATGAGATTTATTCTTCACAATGTTGTAACTACCGAACAAATTGACAAGGTAGATTTATAATGGATTCAATTAACCTAATAACCAATTGGTTATGAATAACGCTTTAGCTGTAGCGCGCTTTAAATGATAACCAATAATTAATTTTGTTCGTTTTCTTATAAGACTGCATTTTTGCAAAAACCGCGTTTGCACAGAATCATATTCATGTTTTCTTAATACTCCATATGTATGTATTAAATTTTCATTAAAAGTAAAAAGGTTTATTTGAAATCCATAAATTGCAGTAGAACATAATTTTCTTATAATATCTTTAACATTTTTATTAAATATTAATTATTACTATTTAGTTTCTCTGCGGAAAGCTTAATTTTCATGAAGCATTTTATTTTAAATTAAATTGTTTAACTCAAGGGCTTTATAAGTCTCAATAGTCTAGTTTCCACCGAAGCATTAATATATACGCATCTCATACGGTATAAAATCAAATTTAAGTCAATGGAAATACACTTGACATTGATCATTTCACCTCCACTTCGATCCACAAGCTTTATCGAAGTGGCAGCAAATTGATATAAAATTTAATCGGTGGAAACAGTTGAAATAGGTTTAAAATAGATATTGCCAACCTCTACTTTTTTTTATTTAATAGTTACTATTCATGTACATATTCATGTATGTAAGACAAGAGTTAAGTTGGCTCTACTGGAATATCAATTTTCGTCACTTTTACTCTTCCTCCAATGGAAACAGCGCACTAAATTTTGAGCTGCACCGAAGTGTAACTGAATTGAGAGTGCGGTGGAGACTAGACCAATATTCGTTATTAAAAACAAAGAATTTACAGTTTCAAATTTGGTAAAGGACATCTTTGTATATTATACTACACGATCGTACATGACATACTTGTTATAACATCAGAGACTGACATTGTAGTCGGTCAGTATTCGGTGAGCTTTCGAGATGGCACAACGACAATCGCAGTTAGACTGACATATCTCTGATTTTAACGGATGGTGGCAATAGTTGTAATTAATTGACTGTAATTATTACGAATCTATTGCAATTTAATCAGCATACAAAGTAAGTAACTTGTTAATTTAATAATGATTAAATAAATACATGTATCTCGATCTTGTCAACGACAAAAGAGTTTATATAAAAGTTTATAAAACTTTATTCAACGTACATACATGACATACTTGTTTGTCAAATAATTCCAAAAGACAAAGCACGATTAAATTTAACTTCATTTCCTCGATATTTTTTTCTCATAAAATGTGAATTTTTATTTTCTTAATGTTATTTTCTTAATCATAATGTTCCTATTTCTTATTATAACTACTGAAAATTTAATAAAATGAGATATTCAATAGAATTTTGAAATAATTTTAACACAGCAAATTTCTCGTATATAGAAAAAAATTTTTAATTAAATAAGAAACAAAATTATAATTATTATTAATAAACAGATAGAAACAATCTCACGATGAAAAGGATTTATTTTCTTTAACTTTCATTTGTTTTTTAACAATTGTTGAATTGTTTCCTATGCTATTTTCATAGTTTCAAGAATATTTTATAACGTTTTTCACTGGTCGCATTGGTGCGCACTGAGTGAACACTCGAAAGCAGCGTGTTTGATTGTGCTTTTCAGTGCGCACGAAGGCGGTGCGTGCTGTTTCACTAGAAGACTTGATGCTGAGTTTTTGCGTTTTAGTGCAGAAATTCGGTACAAACTCTAAGCAGTGTCGGTGCAGTGCCGGTGCGCATTCAGTTCCTACCAGTAAAAAACGTTATTACGAAAATAAAAGAATGGAATTCGGATAAGACTGTCATTTGCGAAAATGACTAGTAAGAAATTCAAAATGTCTTTCACTGTACACAATTTTATTAATAATTTGCCTTATTTTAGAAATCGATTAGATACTTATTTATTCTTTCTTTCTACTTGTCTATAATTTATTAAATGTGACAATTAGAAAATAAAAATTATAATTCTATCATTCTATTTAATAATTCCGAAGAAAAATTTTTTCTTAATAAATTAAATAAATAAATATTAGACAAAAATATATTAAAGTACTAATAAATAATTGAATCGAGAAACAGATTTAATTTTGTCGTTCTTCTAACAGATATCTAGACAATTGAAATCTCACATACCAACGAAATGTGATAATGTTGTTTATTTCTGGCAAATATTTTATACAATAAATTTAATACGTTATTTTTGTTAGATGCCAAAAATTATCTTTTAAACTGATTAAATTAAACTTCAATTTTTTTTGAGAATAAGATTCTATGAAAATAAGAATAACAAGATTAATTAATTCCAAATGTACTCAATATTAAATGTAGCAGGCTCTACATTGCATATGATGATTTTTTTTCATTCTTTCTATTTTTGTATAAAGATGTGATATTAACATACAACTTTGAACTGCACTGTATTACCATTTGTTCTTCTTATTGAAAAAATTGTAGATACGTAAAAACTGAATGTCGACATGGGAGTTCAAAACTTTTTAAATTTTGCTGGTCTAATGCTGACCCTCAACACCGATAATAATAGGGAAATTCGTCGTTTGCCCAACAACACGATACCAATTCATTATAACATCAACCTGACATCGCATCTCGAAGAAGGCAATTTTAGTTTTTACGGTGAATCCAATGTCAATATCGAGATTCGTCATGCATCATCATATATAAGTTTACACTCGAGAGATTTAGAAATAAATGAAGCGGCGACAACGTTGATTAATGATAAAGGAACATCTTATAAACCGATAGAACATACTCATGACAACAGAACAGATATTATAACACTTACTTTTGACAATGCATTATTGCCCGGAATTTACATTGTGAACATGAAATTTGTTGGTAAGCTAATATCTGAGATTCATTCTAAGCTGGTAGCAACTAGTTTCATGAAAATTCCATACACCGGCAAAGAAGGAAATAGCAAGTAAGTAAATATTATTATATCTAAAACATTTTTATAACTTAAATATTATTTAATATTCTTTTTTTGCTTTTATCATCATTGCACATAAAGCTCAGCAAAACGTAACAGTTAAACATATAGCTTCATATAATTATATAAAAATTATATAAAAATTATATAAAAATTTTTTTCAGTTTATTTAAATATAATTACAATAAAATGCATGCACAATATCTATTATATTTAAAAAGATAACTTTAATTAAAAATAAAACAGCATAACTATAAAGCTTTTTAGTTTTTTCTCAATAAAGATACTTTTTAGACGTATAATATATCGTAAATATTAACTGATACTCTTTAAATTCATGCATTTTATCCGATATAAATGGTAAATTTGTCGTTATTTAAGATATATATCAAATTTAAGACATTCTAGATGGTTGGCTACGAGTTTCCGAGCGAGAGGAGCCAGACGAACGTTTCCGTGTTGGGACGAGCCAGCGTTAAAAGCCACATTCGACATTTCCATAACGCATCATCAGAAATACAAAGTATTGTCAAATATGCCAATACGACAGATAATCGTGGGACAAGATAGTATGGTGCGAACACACTTTCACACCACTCCTATAATGTCCACTTATGTCGTGGCGATTGTGATGATGTCGAATTTCACCCACGTTCCCAACGAGGATGGAACCATCAATATGTGGTGCAGCTCGTTTTTAACATCGCAAGTAAAATTCGCTCATAGTATTATCGAAAAGGTCGTACCGCACTTGATTGAGTATACTAATAGTTCCAAGAAGATACCAAAAGTGGATCATGTCGTGATACAGAATTATCCGATTAATAGCATGCAAAATTGGGGACTTATCATTAACAGGTATAATACACATAATTAAAATAATTATTAAACCTAAGCTTAGCATTCGAAATTTAATAATTAAAAACTGTGCATATTTTACATATATCCAAAAAATGCATATTTTCATGTTTAAATAATTCTTATATTACGTCTTTATTTTTCACTTCCTTTATTTCATTTCTATTTGTACGTGTATGCATTATCACTCAAAAGTTTGTTCATAAGAAGAACGTTTTATAAAATCATATTACGTTATGTTTTGTCTTTCAGAGAAGACGCTATAATCTATGATAATAATACAGATCCATTATATTATGGAACAAAAATAGCGTCGTTAATAGCACATGAACTTGCGCATGAATGGTTTGACAATTTAGTTAGTCCATCTTGGTGGGCTTACGCGTGGTTAAACGAGGGACTTGCTGACTTCCTCGGAATGCATATCCTCAATAAGGTAATTGCAACAATGCAAAATTGAAGCATTAAAAGAATTTTTGTAATATATTTTATAATCTGAGATTAAAATCATGTAAATTAAAGACAAATGAATACTGAATTTTCATTAAAATTATTAAGATAAAAATGAATAAGAAATATCACGTGCTTCAATTTAGAATTATATAAAAGAGTTTGTAATGCTTATATCGAACAATTATTAAAACATTTTAATACATAATTTATATTAAAATTTAAATATCTACTTTGTATTTATCATATTGAATATCCATTTAAAATTTTCTCTATTTAACTTTATAATTAGAAATCGCAAAAACATTACAGTAGTTTCGTTAAAATTTGAAAATATTTTTACCGTATTTAACATTTAATAAAAAATTCAACAATTTAGATTTTTATATCTTGATTTTTTTATATTAAAAAATTTGTAACACTTTTTAAAAACATTTAATCAAACTAGATGTGTGCTCTTCTTGAGAAAGAAAGTTAAACGTGAAGGAATTAATATAATAATTTAGGTTTTGAAAAGTAAAACAATAAATTTTTGAAAGCATCAAACAACCAAATTATCTCTAATGCAAACTTTTCTTCAAATTTGTAATATTTATTTATATTACATTTCTAGAATTTCGAAAATTGGCGGATGATAGATTTCTTTGTTGTTCAGAATTTACATGATAGTTTAGCTGCAGATATTGATCATCAATTAAAGTCTGTTACAAAAACAATGACTGCTGATTACATCATTGAACCTGAAAGTCTCGTTTCTAGTATATTCTATAAAGATTCTAGTGTACTTTATGATAAAGGTAAGATTTCGTAAGATTAAATATAATTAAACTACCGTACACATACACGGTTTTTTAAATGTGGGTAGCACAAAGAAACGGATAAAACATAAAATTAATAGAAAAAATTCCGTTGCAATACATATATCTCAATTTTATAACTACTTTAAATGTATCTACTTTGAATATATTATTAGTTAATAGTTTATGGTATCTATTATCGTAGTGACAGCTTTATTGCGCATGTTACATCGTGCAATTACCGACGAGATATTTCAAAAAGGTGTCATCACGTATTTGGCCACGCAGTAAGTGTATATAATGTAGTCTAACATAGTTATTATGTATTACAATATTGAGTATTATGAGTATAATAATGCTTCTTTTACTCATACTGAAAAATATAATATATCACTATAAACATGAATTTAGGTAGACCTAACATCACATTGTTCCATTATTGGCCATACTTTTCTCTTTATTTAATTATAATTTAATTTATGTTAATTTTAATTAAGTTTTGTTCTAAATTTTTATATGTATAAGTTAAATTGTATATTTACGTAAAACATTTAATAGAAAATTTATATTCGCCGATGTGTGACTGTATATCTCTTGACAATGCAATTTCTCTAATTTAGTCAATTTAGCTCGGCCATTCCGGACGATTTGTGGAACGCTATTCAAAGTGCTCTAGACAAATCTGATGTCCCGCACGAAGGTTATAGAATAAAGGAAGTGATGAATTCGTGGATGGACCAAAACGGTTATCCTGTGGTGAAGGTGGTGAGAAATTACACAACTGGTAAAGTGACAATATCACAAACATGTTCCTGGGACTATGTTAGCGATGACAATAATAAATGGTGGATACCCGTGACTTTCGCAACACAATCCAATCCCGATTTCTCTAATACTGTGCCCAGTTTTTGGTTAAGACCAGACCAAAATATAAGCTTTACGATTGATCCAAATGATTGGATTATTCTCAATTTGCAACAAACTGGTAAGTATAAAGAGTAATAAATTTATGCTTATGTATTATTCGTTCATTATAACGAAAATTTTACATTATTCATTTTTATGTGTATTTTCTTATTTATGAATGTTTACAGGAAATTTATATGATCAAGTTCTCCGATAATTTGCCAAATTATTAATATAAAACATTTTTTATGTCCTTTCTTGTTATTTGCAACTACATTGTATTTGTTATGTTAAAAAAGGCAAAATATTGATATATAAAAATATGTTTTGTAAGATTAAATTAAAAGATTTATAATAATAAATGTAATGAATAATTCCACAGGATACTATCGTGTCAAATATGATTCCATGAATTGGTATAATATTATACAATACTTAAATTCTGACGACTACACGAATATACACGTTCTTAATCGTGCGCAAATCATCGATGACGCATTTTTCTTATTTTGGAAGCACCAAATGGATGGATCCGACTTTATCGATCTTATAAGTTATCTATCGCGAGAGACAGATTATGTGGCATGGTATCCAATGTTCCGAGTTTTAAAACGGATAAAGGGCTATCTATTACTGCCTAGTGGCAAAAATAACAAGGTAGATATATTAATTCAGACAGATTTCATAAAAAGGAATAGTATTACAATTAATTCTTTAATTTGTTTAGTTCTACATTTACATGTTCTCGATATACTATATCAAACAAATTATTTTTTTGTAAGCTTAATAATGTCAATGAATTCTATTTTTTCTTTACAAAATACGTAAGAGATAGACTTAAATTCAGCAATGATTTTTATGTGATGTAAATGTATCAAACGTTAACAAAGTATACATATATATTTCCATATATAGATTATGTAGCTTCACAAACCAATGAATCAATTTATAACCAATATTTTACTTTATGATTTTTAGTTACGCATAATTGATCTCTTTGACAAACTTCTTCAGAACATGGGATACGATGAAAATTTGTATGATAACAATATTACAACAGAAATGAAGCAAGAGGCCATGAAATGGGCATGCACCCTCGGTCATAAGGGATGCATAGAAGTGGCTGCTGTTAAATTGAGCAAACATATCGAGCACCCTGATACTTACAAGTAATTCTTTTTACTGTCACGATTACCTCTTAAACTGTATTTGTGTTTTTTCTCAATTCCATTTTTATTCTAATAATATAATACACAGAATGTATAGTACTATACATATGTCTTTAATCGCGTACAAGCAAACATACAATAAATTGACAAGCGACATTATCGTTGGAATCTTCGTTCATTTGTTTTTTCACTGCAGCACAGAGCGAGAGTTTAATTTCAAATTAACTGAATGCAGAATGTAAAGGAATAAATCTTTGATATATTACAGAAAGCCGGGTATATTTATGTACGTTTTCTTTATAAACATATATTTTAGAATTCTACCATGGTGGCAAGAATCCATGTATTGCCTTGGAATGATAGGAGCCAATGAGACTACTTGGAGCAAAATGTTAGAATTATATCAAAAGAAATCTGATAAAATGATATTAAGAGGTTTGAGTTGCGCTGCAAGTCGTCGTGTTATTATCAAATTTTTAACTGTTACAACTTTAAACTACTTGAACACTACATTATTTAATGATACAGAGCAAATATTTATCTTCCGTTCTATTGTTGAAAATCATGCGCACAGAAATTCGATCCTTGATTACATATTAAAAAATTTTAATATCATAAAACCCAGGTAACACAACATTTTTTTTCGTAAACATTTATTATACTGCTTTTTAATTATAAAGATTTATTAATTATAAACGTATATTTTATAGATTAATTACTGTAACCAAAGCAATAAGGCTTATTCTTCAGAATGTTGTAACTGTCACACAAATTAATAAGGTATATTTTATAATATTCATACTTAATAACCAATTGATTATGATCAATAACGCTTTCAGCTGTAGCGCGTTTTAAATGATAATCGTCGTGTGAAATTTTAAATTAATTTTAAATTTGTGTAATTAAATTAATATTAATAATTAATTTTGTTTGTTTTCTTACAAGAATGTACTTTTGTATTTTTGAGGTAAAGCGCGTTGTAATAATCGAATGATATCAGCGCGTATTTTAGAATGTAAGCTAAAGTGTTATAATTTATGACTTAATAATAGACCGATCATTTAAATGAAAAAGCTTTAAAAAATTTCGTGAAAATGATTCCATCGTGAATTGATATTTCGGTCGATTTTTGAAAATGTATTTGTCTTTCTCAAATAGGAGACAATTTTTTTACGGCGTGTATATACTTCCGCATCTATGGAGTTTAATACATATTGGATTTATGCATATTCATATACATATATTTATGTTAACGTTATGTTTAATTAAAAATTATATTTTATGAAATTGGTGCATAAGAATAAATTACTAATTATTATTCATAAGCATCTTGAATTTATAATTTGTTTTAGGTAAAAAATTTCTCAGAGGCTAATATAAATAAAGATCCAGATGTTTTGTCTGAAATTCGAGAATGGGTAAAAACGTATAGAAGAATTACTGAGGATAACATAAACTTTTATACAAGCCGATTTAGAAAATAAAATTTAGTCTAAGTGACGATCTTATCAACCATTAGACGAAATGTAATGCAAAATATACATTTATCTATTATACATGATTTTTTAAAGATATTTTTATTGTATTTATTATATTATATTATATCATATTAATTATATTAGAATGTAAATACGTTTTGTCTAATAAATATATTTGAATCTAAAAATTAATTCCGATTTACATTAATTTGCACGAAATTGTAATTTATGTTTTCTTTATGCTTCATGTATGTATCAAATTTTTATTAAAATTAAAAAGGTTTATTTGAAATCCATAAGTTGCAATAGGACCTATTTTTCTTATATTAAAATTAATTAAAGGAATTAAGCTCGTAAGAATAAATCAAATATGAAATAATCAAATATTGAAATAAATGTCTATCGAACTGACTATCTTTATAACTCTGTCCTCATCTTGCAACTCACGAAATCTTTGTTTGTTCAACTACCTTTCTAAATTCATTTATTGTTAATTGAATCACGTTTATTTTCCTATCCATTCCATCATGTTGATTATTCAAGTATTGTTTATCGTTACAATTGTCTACTGACAGCGCGGTCATCTTTCTCTCGATTTCATCTTGCCGATCTTTCAAAATTTGCTCTATTGCACGTATCGTTTGTTGATAGCGTCACCATCGTCTACACTTTGCAGGTAGCGTTAAGCGTTGAATCTTGCGTGATTTTGTGTCAAAGTCGGCTGCGATCACGCAAAGAGTGTTATCGCGCATGTAATTTTTACTTTACTTATTAATTCGTTTCGTGGGTGATATGGTTCCGCTTTTTACGAGAGATATTCCAAACTTGTTGATCGGCAATTTGGCGCGCAATTTAATTTATTATAAAGCCGACTTCGCGAAGCTCCTCGACTATAAATTAACAGTATCTCGTTATTGTGCATTGTTGCCCACTCGACGGGAAGCGTTTACCAATCGGAGGTGATCTCTAATTCGTTGGGAACTAGAGATCTCAACGAACTATAGATTACGTCCCAATAAATGTAATCGATCTTGTTGTCAACCTCATGGTACACCGCTCACGCCTACTCCCTTTTTACCGCTAGTTTTATAAGTATTAATACGAGCGGACCGATAATGTACTTGTACTTGGACCCTCCTGTTGCCCATGATGCGCCTATTGTCACGCCTGTAAGCATTTGTTGTTAATATAGTATACTATTATATGATTGTTTGTCGCGCTCTGAAAATAACGTTATTGCATGGAGTCTTGGTGTATGTTAATTTTTATTATTACCATATCCAACCACATGCAAACTGCGCGCACAATTTTTGTCGGTCTTGAAACACAGTTATTTTTGCATGAAGCCGGAATGCATTTGTAACGAATTAAATTGACGAACAATTTAATATTTTACATGCCTCGATAGTTGAATGACAGAACGCCCGTCCGGCAAACAGCATGATGAAGAGATCCGGATTCGATTCTTGGCTAAGGTGATATTTTTTGCAATAAATTTCTTTACAGGTTTGGGAGGAGGAAATCCTTATAGATGCGTATTATATTAGTATTAACAGATATAAAATTGCTTGTCAATTTAATTTGTTACAAGTGGTTTCCGGCTTCATGTAAGAACTGTGTTTTGCCAAGACCGAAAAAATTGAGGCGGGTAGTTTATATATGATTGGAATATATATATATATATATATATATATATATATATATGTATGTATTATATGTATACGTATATATATATGTATATATATATATATATATGTATATATTGTAACAATAAAAATTAATACACACCAACACTCGTATCGGCTCAATAGGCATTTCCTTCAATCAAACGACGCCGTAGCGGCGCGACGCCAAGTATATGTATATAAAAAAAAAACAGGTGATGATCTGTGAGTATACGGCACTGGTTATCGAGTTACTACTAGCTTAGCTTTATTTCGAATTTTTGCTTTGTTAGATTTCCGATTTAAATATCTTGAAAACAAAGGTTATAATAAAGTATTTAATGAGACTTTCATTATACATATAATGTCGATACGAGTTTTCAATTGAGATCAATTTGAATGAAATCGGTGCAGACAATTCCGAGATCTCGACATCGAATCTACAGAAATTTAAGTATTCCTTCAGCGATTCCAGATTTTTTTTTAACAGTATTCAGTTTATTCATTTAACAGTATTCAGTTCATTCATTTGAGACTCACGAAGTTTGCGAGCAATTTATACCATAAAACTGTTTTACACTAAAAGGATCCAAACCAAGAGTATACGAAAAGTATGGGTTTTTTCAATTTCTTGTGCTCATAATTTATAACAAACGACATTTGTTTACGCCACAAATAATTGCGTTGGCTCCAAAGGACTTCAATTACTAATTTTTATTTCAATTTATCATCTCGGAGTCTATTCTTATCTTATTCAATTTATGTTTACGACGTTCTATTACTAAAATAAAATACAACATCCAGGCTGAGGTAATATTTTTCGTAATAAGTTCTTCTCAGTATTTTAAGATATGCTTATAAGCATCAATTTATTAACATCAATTGAAGATCAATATGATATCTCTATTCCAGTCTCATCTAAATAATTGCAAGTCCGAAAATTTATTCGGCACACAGTTTACGGCTGAACATGGAATTAAGAAATAATTTGTATAGAATTCGTTAGGCACCGAGATCCAGCCGTGACCATAAAAGGCGCTCTCGAATTTAGTTATGTGATTCACATACGCGGTCTAG